CTGCGCCAAAGTGGTTGTGTTGTGCAGGCAAGTGGCAGGAACGCACCGAAGTTGAAGGTGCCTGCCGTGCCTGCTTCGTAGAAGGCGAGGTGCCCTGGTACATAGGTAGGACCGAGGAAGGTACGAATGCCTAAGGTAAAGTAGCCACAAGATGTCGTTTTGGTCCAATCAAACGTGAACGGCTGTATGCCCGTGGAAGTACACCTCACCTTGATTTAGGTACCTACCTCAGAGCGAGCTCACCGAGAGAAGGTGCCGGGCAGGCTGCGAGGGCAGGCGCGACCGCTTCCCAGCGGCCACTTCCGGCCGAGACCGTGCCACGGTCCTCCGTCCACCTTCACCGTCACCGTCGCCATCGCCGTTGTTACTCGACACGAGCGCCAGCAGTCGCTTCTAGCCCTTTCTCACAGTAAGGTACCGAGTATGGATGCCTCCTTGTCCAAAGTTCCACTTCAACTTTGGATAACCACACTTTTGTTTTCATTCCACCGAGGCATGTGTAATTGATATGTGCCATTGTTACTGCCCAGTGTCCGCCTGCTCCGATTCTCGACTCCGCATGCGTCTTTTGGGTATCTTGGAAGGCATCTTCGGTATGGAGTCGCGGAGTACCCACTTCCCACCACTTTGCAGTGCAAATTAGCCTGGACGGCAAGGTACTTGCGACTGTCGAATACCTACCTAGTCGTCGCCGCCGCAGTCAGACAGGGTCGCAGGCTGTCACAATTAAGCGAGGGGTAGCCAGGAGGGAAAAGGAACATGCCCTCACATCACATCCCCTGCTCTCTACGCAAGTCGCTTGGGATTTTGGGAAGCCTTCCAGGGTCTCCCGGTGCTCCAGCCCTCTGGAAATTCTCTGAAGCAAGGAGAAGGGAACTAGTGGGCTACCGGCCTTGCAAACAGGGCGGGGGAAGCAGCACACTGTGGTGATTGACATGGTGGAGGGGGGAAAAGGAGAGGGGGGTGGGGGACATGGTAGGTCCATCATCCATGGATGGGATGCAGGGCAAGCTGGATGCTGCAGCTGCTTGCAAGGAACTCAACGAAGGTTGCCTAGAGGGCTGGGCCACCCCTTCCCATCTTTACCCCCCAATTGCCCCCCCTTTTACCTTGACTTCAGTGCTTCACTGACTGAGCGTTTGACCAGGACCTCACCAAAGCAAAGCAGTACGAAGTACGGATACAGAAAACCTCGAATCTGGTCGTCCTCCCCCCAGTCTCGCGTTTGGCTCGGTATTCCTGGTAAATCCGCCCCCGGCAGATCTCAGCTGCGACAATATCGACGTGGAGGGGTGGCCCGTTCGTCCGTCGTCCCTCGCCCGGCCTCGAGGTGCCCGATGACAGGGGGATAGACAAGCGAAGGGAAAATCCCATTTCCAATATCGAAGCAGCGGATGCCGCTAGCTGCCTTTCCAGTCAGCACGAAACAGCCCTCATCCCCGAGGCTATTTTTCCCAAGCGAGTTCTGACCCTCTGCTCTCCAGGAACCCACCCTTCACGAAATGGAAGCCAACAGGGTGTCGATTGTCGATTGTCGAATCTCCGGCTTCCCAAGGACCTCGTCGTAACGATTTGTGATGCCTTATCACTATCTACACGCGGTATCCGCACGGGTTCTCTGTATCCGTACCGAGTATCTCTGCCCAGGTGGTGCACAGGAGCCCCATCATAGATCGAGCTTCGCCGCGAAGCGAGTGACGGTTCGTCGACGGATTTCGGCAAATCGATCGGAATTCCGCCCTCGTGTCAAGAAGCATACCTCCCGAGATCGATGTTCCAAGATCTCAAAGATGACATGAGCTTTCGTGTCCGCACTGAGAGGCACGGATAGATTGGGTTCATCAGGCTAGCAGTGTCCAGCTGTCGTCTCAAGAGCTGCCGCCATCACGATTGTCCAAACGTCCAACCATCTCTTACTTCCACGACTGCGTCGCGTCGCGTCTCGCTCGCTCGCCCCTGGCGGATGGGAAGCTCGAGACAGGATGAGCCAGCCTCAGCGTTCCCGTCTGCACCAGCGCCAGCGCACCTCTAGGCCCTAGCTTGGGGATTCGTTTGACAAGTCGAACTTGCGGGGAAAACGCTAAGATAGCCCCCGAACCACTGGTGGGTGACAGGGACAAGCTCGACATCAGACACTTTGTGTCAGGAGACACGTGCCGTCTCAAGCAATAGGACTTACAAAATTACAACTTATATCACTTCAGGGGAATTATTCTCCAGACTCCAGAGTGAGTATCAAGGCGAGACGATTAATCTCGTGTGATAGATGGAATCTTTCGGGCAACATCCATCCCCGTTTCTTGGTGGCGCACTTCGTCAGCTCAAGGGGGGGCTGGCTCACACAACGTCCGCTGATCAACGAGATTTCTACATCGCAAATACGGCGGTGGCTTCTTCTGCTACAGTCCGAGCCCCTCGTTTTCAACCTAGTCATCCACCAAGCCGTTGGAAACGTCCGATATTCCGTCCTCGAGGCTTGACCTCTATCGGGACGGGAGGTAAGGGAACCAGAGAATAAGTTGCGCTTTCGTCCCATCAGCAGTTATTCTTGTCGCAACCCCGTATAGAGACGCAGCTCAGAAAACGACCTATTGGTCTCCACACCAGTTGACAGATCAAGTGTAGGAAACCGCCGAACCCCTAAACATCATAGTCTTGGGGTGATCGCCAGACCAGAAAGTTCAGACCACCGTTTGATCCCAAGCCCTGGACCGGCGCGCCAAAATAACCTTTGCGACGCGACCGAGGCACCAGCAAGATCCTCGATGACTATACAAACCTATAGAACTTTATCGAAGTGCGATGCTGCAGACTGCTACGCGGTACTTCATGAGGAAACGCACAGGTTCGCGCAGCACATGTACAGATAGAATTACCGCGCAGAAACGGAGCAAAGTCTGTACGGATAGTAAAGCAGCTGTACACTAGACCGAGCCAGGAGATACCGTCAAATGGCCGCCGGTGCCAGAGGTAGTGAGGAGAAGGGAGGGGATGTCGGTTCTCATTTCGTCGCTGCCCACAGACCACAGCCCACAACCCACAGCCCACCCGAATCCACTCGTTTGTATTTCGTAGCACAATCTCTGTCGCGGCGGAGAATATTTTGGTAGCAGAGCCCCGTCACGGGCGCCGGGGCTAGTGTTGTGTTCAAGGCGCCGGGCTCAGAAGTCCCCGAGGCGTCTATGCTGTTTTCGTCCATCTGGATCGACTCCAGCGCAAGCATTCCCTCAATTCCGCCCGAGTCAGGGTCCCACACTCGCGGAGTCTAGATCGCGGGCACCACACGGCAAGTCCCTCGTCAATGTCTTCCCCTTGGCCGGCACCATGAAAGGCGGCCTTTGCTTTCTTTGTTCTTTGTCCGTCGGAAGAGGACACGGACAAGCTACGGGGACGCGTCCAGACAACCGGCTGCTCCTTGCCCGATGCAGTCGAGTCTCTTTCGCAATGGTCATTCCTCAGCTGCCGTGCCGAGACGGGCCCGGCGTTCGCGATGACGGATCCGACAGTATACAATGGCACCGGCAGACGGCAGTATTCGTACAGCTTCCTTACAGTTCCTGGCCATGGTCAGCGAACATGTACTCCGTATGCACGATTCACGAATGAGGTAGCCCACGCATCTAGGCTCCCATCTGCAACTTGGGGCCTCTACGAAGTACTCGGTAGGGTCTGGTAGTCTGGGTCGCTGGGACGGGTGCATCTCGTCGGGTTTGGGTTTTGGTGATTCGGATGTCCAATTTTGCAGGTGCTGGCGGTGTTTCTGCAGATGCCAATGCAACCGCAACTGAGCATCTCGACGATCGACAAGGGATTCAAGCTGAGTGGCCAGTGATAGATGGAAGAGTCGGCACATCAGCCCCCTCCCAAGCCCTCAAAGCCAAGGCGAGGCAAGGTGCAGGGGAGGGGGGGGGAGCATCAATCTTCACCTTGCATCGCTCGACCTGGTTCGCCGCGACGCCGATGGCATGGGGGAAAAAATTGAAGGGGAAAAAAATGTGAGAGAGAAGGAGGTGGATCCGGCCACGGACTCCTTCCCAGTTCCCACCCACTTCATCATTTATCAGGCTAGCGCAGAAAAATGGCGCAGATCTCTGTTCTCTGGGGCCTAGGCTCTTGGTATCCACTTTGGGTCCAGAGCAGAAGGAAAGACCCCACTGTCTCGCGTTCCTACCTTCACTCATCGCAGACCCCAGCATCCATGCCCCGTCCCCAAGTTCCAATGGAAGTCACCCCCCAAGTCCAAAGAGCAAAGCAAAGCACCAACCTGAAGTCGACATATCCCTCTTTTCGCGAGTCTGCATCTCACGAGACCTCGCAGCTCTTCGTCTTGTGGTGGGAGCCAATGTTCATATACAAGCCCCACATTCAGATATACCTCTCTCCGCGAATATCCACTCTGGGCCGCCGCCGGGCCACCTGCCTTACCTACCGCAACACACACCAGATCCGACATTCCCACCTCACATGCTTGTCGCCGGGGTGGGTGGTCCTTTTTTTTTTTTGCCTTTCCTCTTGACTTCCAATTCTCTGTTTCTTTGCGCCAGATGTTCGATGCCATTGGAGGTGAGTGAAGTGGCTGCTCGAGAATCTTTGTTTTGCAGCTCGTCAGCTCACGTAGACACAGGGGCCCCCGATTATTCATCACGATCCACGACCATATCCGTAGACGAACACAGGCACTCAGTCCCACTTGTCGGTATTTCCCTCGCGCCCAGCTGTCTGTCTGCATCTCAATTCCCGGTACGGTGTGCCACAGCACGAGCGAGCAGGGCGAGCAGGCCACGCAGGCCACGCCGCACCAAAGACCGTCAGCGGCTGCTCCCAGAACCCAACGTCAGGGAACCCCAAACCAGCCGTGGGCATCCCAATGCACACCACACACACACACTACAGGGCCACAGAGTCCACAATGCCACAAAGACCACGTCTACGACCAGGGGAAAGGAAAAATTTCAACCCACGGTGCCGCTTCTCTCAGCAAGCAAGGTCCAGGGCTGGAAGACCGCGGCCGCGGAGCTGATGCCTCGACCTGCCCTGATCTCCTCTCACCAGAGACTCGACTTTCAGCTTGAGCGCTGTTTGCTCGGTACCGAGGCACACGTTACCTTCAATTGCGCACGCCGTACGGAGTACAGACCACAGAGTACGCCTGCGGCCTACCTACCAAAGGTACGTCGATCCGTACGGTCTTGCACACCTACGACACCGCACGCTCATTTCAGCCCACGCTCCCGTTCCGCGACGCGGCTGTCAGTCTCCTATTCTGGCTCTATCTCCTTGTTCCCTATCCATGTATGATGTGCCGTATGGTGTGCCGTATGGTGTGCCTACCTAGTACTGTACCTACACTTACCAAGCTCTGTAGCGAGAACCTTACCCGCTGCCCTTTCCCAAACTCCAGGTTGTCTATGCAAGACCCAGGCTCAGCAGCCGTCGTCGGCTTGTCTTCCTGGCGCTACCCGTACGCATGATCAAGATCAACGCATCCTGGAGCTCCTGCGAACTGTCGATTCGATGTGTACCGCAGCCAATGCCCCCACCGTTTTCTCCTACGCTTGCCTGTACGAGAATACAAAACACAAGAGGGTATACTCGTTGTGCGCCCAGGCATGCTTCCAGGAACAATGGCATTGCGCAGGTTTTGGCCTTGCTCGAAATCATGGCCAAGACCATGTCCAAGCCTTGGAATTTGCCGTCTACACAGTAGAGGGAGTGCCACGCATCCGGAGGTGCAGGAGCAGGTCGTGCAGCATCCAGCTCGGCATGTCGTCGTGTTCTGGAGACTGGCTGTGCCGTACCGCGGACAGCATGTCTTGGGAGTGCGTGCGGATGTCATGTCAGCCAGTCAGATGGCTTGCCACGCCCTTCACCGGCCACACGCCCCCCTTTCGCCGCCACAGCTATTTGATTCCCATCCGCTGGGAACCTCGACCGCAAAAATCCCAAAGGTTGAGCAGGGAACAAGGGCTCTCGAGTCTCATGGTTGGGGCCCTGCTCGCTGGCTGCCACGCTCTCGTGGCTCTCTGGGTTTCTGCTTCCTCAACTGCGGCGGTCGACGGTCCGCTACCGCTACGCGGCTTTGCTCGCTGGCCAGGACTGCACAACCACGACCACGGCCCTTAGTATTGACCAGCCCTTCGTGTGCGAGGAAATATTGCACAGCAATACGGTAATGACTGCGTAGGTACTGAGTACGGAGCACTCACATACTCGAAAAGACTGGGATCAGGCCCGAATGCGTTCCCCAATGGACCATCCGGCACCACCCATCTTGTTCCCTTCTGTCCAAGCATTTGGTGTGGCGTCGTGGAAGGGGAGGGGCGGTCTCAACTATCATTCCTCCATTGAGAAATGGAAATCCAATTACCAGTACAATCCACACACCAACCGCTGCATCACGGAATAAGTCATCGTCGACCCATACTATCCCATACACACACGGCATCCTGGAACAGCCCTCGAGTGCTCGGTGAGTACGGAGTACAGAAGACGGTACGTTACGTTTGGTACATTGCTCTCTGACCAGGCATTTGCCCATGATCTAGCTCTCAGGTTCTTTGTTTGTGTGTTTCTCCTCAACCCCTGCTCGCGAGTCAAGACGGCGGATCCGGCACCGGGCAGCTGCAATAGCTCTCGGGAAGGGGTCCCGATCTTTAGGTCTAGGTAGCGACCAAGTTGGGGGCAAAGAAAAGAAGCTTTTCGCGCTTTTCCAGTGGGATCCTTTAATCAACTACTTTCGGTAGCCTCCGTCACGCTGAGCCGGGAACAACACCGAATGCCATTGTGCGATTCTGATAGTCATTGACTTGAATCGACCACCTGAAGTCGACGCCTTGGGACAGTCAACGAGACATTGGTCACGGGAGCCCGGTCAGGCATTTTTCGCATCAAGTTTTCGGTTTTCGACGGGCCACACCCTGGACTCGGCATCTCGTCAATTCCAGGTCGGATAATATCATTATTATATGACATTTCTCTTCCTTCTTTGATGGCCGATAAGCATTACGTGCATAGAATTCCAAGGGCATTAGCAAATTTCCCGGTACCTGCGAGCATCCCAGGAGGATTGGAGTACTCCGTACCAAAGATTAATAAGACGACGAGCAAAATAAGTGCATGGAAGGCGCACGTTCCAGCCAGTTCAACGGCAGACAGCTTCATCGAGCCCGTGGGCGAGCAATCGTGGGGGAGCAACATCAATCTGACACGCGACGCGGCAAGTAATCTCTAGGTTGTTGCTAATAATCTAGAGTCATTTGGAGTCTAGTCTCCAGAGTCCAGAGTCTAGACAAGAAAGGAGTTTGGTCATTTCATTGATTCAATCGTTTCACCCGTTGCGGTCGAATTGAGCGGTCGTCCAATGCAAGATGAGGATATGACAAAACTGGTTGAGGATCAAGGTGCTGACCAAGAAAACGCGAAGCAAGCAGTGAAAGAAGAAGCGACGCCATACGCACAGCCAAGGTCTCAAGTCATTCAGTCAAGCCACCGTACTTTTGGCTAGTCCCGGCATCCAGAAAGCGGCGTCGCCAAGCTAAGGGATCCTCAGCTAGTGACTTAGTGCGCAAAGGACATGCGTGCCCAAGATGGTTTAGCTGCGAAGGGCACCTTCATCATCCCCCATTATCAGCATCATCATCATCATCATCACCACCACCATTATTCATCTCCTGTACCCGGTATCCGTAGCGTAGCGTTGCCAGCGCCCGCGCCGGCACCAATGTTCAGACACTGCAGTCAAAGGCCTCGGAGAAGCACCTGCCATCTGCCACCTCATCTGCCATCTGCCAGGTCATATGACGGCCAGCCACCTTTTGTAGATGCTTGGTGTTTCCCATGCGTACGTTCTGCTGTCCAATTCTAGTATGTCTAGGTGTAGACTGCGGTATGAGGAGGGGGGAGGGGCAGGTAGGCACGTACTCCATACTCTCCGTACCGCAGAAAGCATTGGAAGCCAACAGTACGTAGTTACGTACCGAGGTACGCTTTTGCTAGGTACCTTCCTGAGTACGGATACAGCCAGGATGCTTTTAGCAGTAAGGAAAGTTCCCAGGAAGGCACGAGATGCATACCCCTGCAAAGCGAGCTCTGAACCTCACCCTCACCTTTTACCTCACCCCCCGGTCCCCGACGTAAGCAGCCCTGTGGCAGACAGGAAAGAAGCACATGGAAGATTCTCACCTGCCGCCTATCTTTTTTGGGGGGATATTTCCAGTCTCCAAACTTTTGTATCAGGGGTGTCGGTACGTACCGATTTCTACACCGTGTCCCCGGGACCGCAGTCCTCATTCACACCCACCTTCACAGGGCGCGTCCTCTTCCCATCTTTTCACGGCCGCAGTCACCTATCAACTCACATACCTCGAAGACGAGGGACGACGACGACACAACTGACGACTACTTACGTCTGTACCTCGGAGGATACGTACCTTTTACTCTCCTCTTCCTTCTGAGTAGTCCTTACTCCTCATAGGCTCACTCACACCTGTCCTTCCCTCTATCTGTACGGATACTTGGGTATTTGCAAAAGAAAAGGGGAGTAGAAAAGTAGTTACGGGGACGGGGAAATCCAGAGTAAGGTACGGAGTAGACTGAGAGGGCAAAAAAAGTGCTCCCCCCTCCCCTCCTGTCTCTTCTCTTGATCGGCTCCTCCTCTCTTCTGGGTGTGTGGTTTTCCATGACCATCTTGTGCCAAATCACCAATCACTGCTCGCACTCCCCCCGGACTCGGTCGTCTGCCCAGTCACATTTCGGACCAGTCTCGTCGTCAATCTTCCATTTCCTAGCCTAAAATTATTGCTGCCCTGACTGCTCAGTCTGAGGTGCCTGCCTCCCTGATACTTCCGCACTCCGTAGATACTTACCTTACTACCTGGACAAGGTACAGAGTAAAGGTAGCCAGCCCCTCTGGACCTCTGCTCTGGCATCTGGGTTGTGTTGTAGTATACGGATACTCCGTAAGCATTGCCAATTGGGCAGGGCAGAAGAGCAACAACCTTGGAAAAGGCAACCACGACTTGAGCCTGGAAGTGTCAATCCGTACTTCGTACCGGGTCTTCACCCTTCCACCTCATCCATCACCTTCACCCCTTCACTTCACAACTTCACCCCCTTCACCCTTCATCCTTCCACTCTCTCCAACGCATCCTTGCCCACCGCACTCACAGGCCCGTCGACGCGTCTCCACCCTGCTGCAAATCAGCCCTCGCGCTGACCCGTCACTCAGGCGTTCCATTATTTCCTCTCCTCCAAGCTTACCCCATTCTTCCTATCCCTCTTCCGTCGCAAGTATTAAATTCGTCTTCCTCCCGGGAACGGCGCTAAGATCGAACTCCCCTCGTCATAAACCTTCATTGGGTTTACCCCCTTACCCCCTTCCCTTAGCTTCGCCTTCCCCCTTCACATTTCCCACACACTGGTGCTTCACCGAGCTGAGCGAGAAAGAGAAAGAGAGAAAGAAAGGACCCAGCCGCGCCAGAAGATCTGAGAGACTGAGGGAGAGAGAGAGACTCGACAACAAAAAAAAAATTACCCCATCTTCATCTCGCTCTTTCTTTCATCTCACCACACAACACACACTACCTACCTACACGCTCCGCCCGCGCTACTTCTCTTTCCTCTAGCACCACGGGAAAACCGCACTACGCAAGACGCACGCACATACGCACGCACGCTCTTTGCTTCAAGCATTCGGCAGCGGCAGCACGAGCACGTACCTCACACACGTCGACGTCGTCAAGTCGAGTAAAGTCGGAAAGACCAGAGGAAGGAGAATCCACCCTCCGCCACCACTCGTGCCCACCAGCCCACTCACCCACCCACCTTGCCTTCCAGTACGGATACTGGGCTTTCTTTCGTACCAAGGCCAAGGTCAACCACGCCCCCTACCGCACGAGCATCGAAGCATCAGCACCCACCACCACCCAGCTAGCTACCTACCGTACATCCAGTCTACGGAGTATTCGCACACCTCTCACCCGACACTACCTCAACCCCAGCCTGTCGAAAGCTGTGCTGGCTGTACCTACCTACCAGTCTACCAGATTCTCTCGCTGTTGCTGCGTGTGAGTGCTGCACCAACCAACGCATCACCCAACTCATCACCACCACCCTCCGCATACTGCAGCACGGCGCTCAGTCGCTTCTTCTGCGTTGCAGCACCTGCATCCCACAGTCTCCTGCATCCCGCAAGCCAGATCAGACAAGAGTCAGTTGCTTTCTCGGGACTCCCATCTGCCACCTCGTCAAGTCAGGTCCCGACCTCTACACCAGGCCAAATCCAGATACACGCCAACCCCGATCAAAGAAGAGGCACACCCTACGCTATACGCAAAGAGGAACCCTTCGACATCCCATCCTCCTCATCAACCCCACCCAACCTTTGGCCTTCTCCCTCTCCTCGGTGTACGGAATACCTACCCTCTCATACGCCTACGGCACTGTTCGCCGCCTTTGGTCCAGGTTCCATACACACACCCAGCTCGTGGGCCTGCCCACCCCTGTCCTATCTCCGATCCAGACGCTAAGGACTCGCTCGGCCTGAACTCAAGCGGAGAGCCCAGCCCAGCCATTACCTACTTAGCGCACTATTTTAGTGTCGCTCTCCCCAGGCAATACCGTCAACCTCTTCTCAGCC